AATGGCCAGGGGGGCCGCCAGGGAGCGGAGACGCTGCGGCGAGTCCCCATGCTCAGTCCCCCTCCAGGGTGCACAGGGGCGCGCGGGGACCGCGGAGGGCGAAGAGGGCTTTGCAAAGTACCCAGTGTGCGCGCCGCCGTCGCGGGCTTCAGCTGCAGCCCCGCCCGGCCTCCTGCATTTTTCTCTAGGGTCCACTGCCTTGGCCAAGCCCGTGAACACATGCACAACCAAAGAGAGCGAGGCCAGCGGGCGACAGCGAGAGCAGAGGCCCCGCAAGCACTTGTTGCCCCCGCGCGCCGTGGCAGGAGGGGGCGCCCTAGCCCAGCGGCCGGGCTGGCAGACACCTCTGGGTTTAACTGAGGCTTCTTGGAGAAGCTAGCACTAGGAAAGGGAAAAATTAGGACTGAGCGGGAGTCCAGAGGGTAGGCAGTCCCCAGACCCCTCCTCGGCCCTCTCACAATCTTTCCCAACCTGGGAGTACCGGTCCCCTGAGCAGAAGCTAGACAGCTTCAGGCTCGGACCAGTGCCGCAAATAGCACCCTACCCTCCACCCTAACTTACACAGATCTTAATTTATGGAGACCCCACAAACACCAGAAGACACCACTGCGTCAGTCTGAAAACTCTTCCACTGAGGCCGGACTCACCCCTGTCAAATCCTGCTGTGGCCAAGTGGGAGGGGCCGGGCTCTAATCAGGACCTGTGCCAAGGACAGGAAGAAGAGGCCTGTGATAGTTTCTTAAATAAAGTTTCTTTTACTCAGGGGCTGCATTTCTGTCTTCCAGTTGTGTCATAATAACGCTAATGTGGTGGACTTGGGTTTTGGTTTTGGTTTTTTGTTTTTTGTTTTTTGTTTTTTTTTCCTTTTTCCCTTCATAGCTTCTGTCGTTCACCCACAAAAATTTAATGAAGCATTTAGGGTTATTACCTCCAGAGTCAATGGGCTAAAAATATTTAGCCTAATGCACTCCTTGTGAAGCCAATAGGTCGGTGGCTGGTGCATAGAAAGTCGTCCAGAGACCCTCCCTTCCTCCGCAAAATTCACGACCCATTAAACTTATTCTGTAATAACAGCTTCTGTACAAACGGAGGCCCTGGCAAACTTGGCTGTCAGGCACCTCCTGAAAAGATAGCAATTTACATAGAGAGAAGAAGAATTTGTGAGGTCACTGGCAGGATGCAGTCTGGGGGAAATCGTTGATCAGAAGAAACACTTTAAGGTGGGAGGGAGGAGGCTCCCTCCCTGGACCTTCTCAATTTCTCTCTTCCTTTAGAGTGATCAGCAAGTCTAAGGATGGGGACTGGGAAACTGGTTCTGGTCTGTCCAACTTTCCCAAAGTTATCCCAGGACAACCTGCCATCACACAGTCTTCTGTGCTCTGTGCAGAAGGCTTGGGCTGGTCAATGACTCAGTGAAGAGGAACAAAACTTTTCAACTTTGTCATCTATAAAGACACATTCCTGAAGTCTGGATCCACTTGCCAGAAATGGAGAAATATCAAAAACTATGGCTGGAATAGGGAGGGTACAGGACACTGCCAAATGTAAGTGGGGGATGGTGACAGGGCATGGGCCACTGACTGCCAGAAACACTGCAGTTCTCAGCGTTCTGAGAGTAGCCTTGGGCATTCTATCTGTATGCATTTCAGAACCCTGAATGTAAGCACTGTGGCCCTCCCCTGCCCGCCACCTCATTGGGTTTTCAGTGGACAGTGGGGTTACCCATGTTAAAGGGAATTCAGGACACTGAGCTGGCCAAGTATGAGAAATGTAAGAGGATGTAAAACTCCATTCAGTGTTGGACAGAGTCCACCCTGGAAACTGGGCAGATTCCCATGAAATCTGATGGGGGCATCCAGCCGCAGCTGTTTCCAACTCCAAGCTGGAAGAAAGCATGACATACATTCCAACTGCACACAGCTGCCCACTGAGGACCTACCACCCTACTGGGTTAGAGTAAACCAATCCAAGTGGACTATTTTGTCATTATATTTAATATGTCTGGAAATAACTCATCATCTAAGGTAAGTGTGGGTTTGTTGTTGTTTTAAATATCAGTGGCATTTTATTAAGTGTGATGTAAGGAAAAAAATC